GAAGAATATTGTCAACATATATTTCATATGAAGAGAGTTGTATCATTTTGGTTGCAGATCAAGAGACTTGGATTGGTTTTGTTGAATTGAAAGCCATATTGGCATAGATGAACAGAGGTGTTAAACAATAATCTTAGAGCCTGTTTGAGTCTGTAGATGTTGAGTCCACAAAACTTGGATGTTGCCGTGTATAGATTGTGTCTTGGAGTTGGCCATTTAAGAAGGCGTTCTAGAAATCAAGTTGAAGAATGTCCCAATTGTTGGGGAGAGCAATGGTGAGTAGAATTATAATGGTTGGCATTTTGGCAACTCGACTAGAGGTTTCATTGCAATCTATACAAAATCTTTGTTTGTATACTTGTAGGACAAATCTTATTTCGTGTTTGGCTATAGACAAGTTAGTATGTTGCTTGGTTTTATATGCCCATCTACAATCCAGGATGTTGTGATGAAGGGGGAGAGAAACGAGTATCAAAGTGGTATGATTTTGAAGACCTTTGACTTCAAGAGACATAGCAAGTTTTCAGTGAGAAATTTTTTAGAGCTTGGGAGAAATAGCTAGGAATAGCGGATGGGGAGATAGACTTGCATTAAGAGTACTTCTTCGGGTTTGAGAGAGCCGGTAAGAGATCTGGTGATTATGTGATGTCCGGTAAGAGTAGGTGGTTCAGATAGAGTGGGCTGAGGGGATGATGGGTGAGGAGCCAAGTAGTGTGATGTTTTGGGTAACGTAGGGTCAGGGAATGGAGATATAGATTGAGAGGGGTTAGTATTTGTTGTGGAGTGTAATACCCAAATTCCAGAAATAAGGTAAATAATTAGGCAAATTTTAAAAGTACCTCTAATTTCGCACCCCTCAAAATTTAATACTTGAAATCGATCAATTCTATGTAAGACTATATATGAATTACGAATGGTTTGAGAGATGAAATTCAGAGGTAAATGTTTTATTAGCTTAATTTATTCTTTAATTATTTCTTAATCATGAATCAACACCGTAACCAACCGAATCACGCCATTTTATTCACTGCTTTCAGTCGAATAGGACTTCGAAGGTTCAAAGATTCCTCCCCTCCTGATTTTCTCCTCTCTCCCGCGTCTCCTCCTCATGTGATAGCCTTCCTACCCAGCTGAAGGGTCTACAACCCTTGTTACAGTGTTGGGGCACGAATGCAGCAGCCGTGCGCACGTTAGGGTGCTGCAATATGCATTTCAGGGTTTCAGAGCAAAATCGGTGAGTGTGAAACCCTCTTCCATGCTATTTGAGATATTTATTTCCTTCCTCTAACATCTGTTTTGATATTTGTTTTGATTTTGTGGACTTTATCATTTCCAATAGTCATCCGAGGCCCCAAAATTGTATCAGGAGTATCGAATGTGATATATGAACTTCCGTAAGGGCTTTAGCACAAAATAAGCAAAGGAAGAGGGAAGATTTGAGGTGTTAGGAAGAGTAGAGAAAAAGATAGGTGGTTTTGGAAGGAAGGATTTATTTCAAGAAGCCCATTTGAGATATGTGTTGACATTTAAAATATGTTTTTTGGTTAAATCGCGATACGAGTTAGGATTTCATGAATTCCTATGATGCTCATGAATTCACAGGTTGTTTATACGAAGAGGCAAGCTTGAGCCAAGCGTGTGAGAACTCGTCGTAGAGCTGCTTCGTCAAGTGAATTAATATTGTGTTAATTTTAAAAAGTAACCTTTTGTATTTTTATGTGATTACGTATTCAACAATATTGCATTTAAACTTCTTACGTATTATAGATGAATGTCTGTTTGAAATGTATGAATGTCAGTTAATTTCTTTGACGATATATATGATGCCACTATGTTATGATACATGTGACTATGCTTATAAACTAATTGTCTGCAGGTATTCATTTGTTATAAGTCATCTATGTAATATAAAAAATGTTTATGAATGTTTGTTACAAGTATTATGATTTAAGAAATATCACAAATAATGATATGGGTAGACTATTACATGAGTGCTTGCAAGTACGTTATGCAAGGATTTAATATTCACGACTCCTGGTGCTCAGGCGATGACAATTTTGGAATCATTTTGATCAGGCGTTGACAGAACGTAGGTAATTATTGGTATTATGAGAACCATTGATATTTGTTATGTTGAGGGGACTTAATTCGTATCGATAGTTTATATGGCCTTTGGGGCAAGGTGACGACCCATGATATAACAGATCATAAAAATAATTAATGTCTATACATTTACAAATGACATTACTATGAAATGACATTGCTATGATAAACAAGTTATAAATATGCTTTTAATTATACTTACGATAACATAGTTATGATATACATGTTTATACAACAGCCTTGGCTTCTACATTACACGTTCTTTTCATATCTATTAGATTCTAGCATATTGTGACTTGTGTGTAGACATGTACAATTACATACGAGCATACACGTTATTTCTTTTT